CCCCTGCATCGGCAGGCGGACTCTCAACCACTGCGCCACCAGGGAAGCCCCGATCATTCATCTTTAAAAACTTTTTTTTTATTGAATGAAAGATTCTTTAAATTCTATGGTGCTTTACAGTTTTCAAAAGTTTCACGCACATGATTTCATATAATCCCATTATTGCCTCTCCCCTTTCCCTTCTCCCCAGCTGGTAACCACTAGTTTGTTCTCTATATCTTTGAGTCGGCTTCTTTTTTGTTTTATTCCCTAGTTTTATTTTTTAGACTCCACATTAAGTGATATCATACAGTATATATATTTCTCTGTATTATTTCACTTAGCATTATGCCCTCAAAATCCATCCATGTTACTACAAATGGCAAAATTTCCTTCTGTTTTATGGCTGAGTAGTATTCCATTGTATATATATGCCACTACTTCTTTATCCGTTCATCTTGATGGACACTTAGGTTGCTTCCATACCTTGGCCATTATAAATAATGCTGCTATAAACATAGGGGTGCATGTATCTTTTCAAATTAGTGTTTTTGTTTTTTTTGGGTATATAGCCAGGAGTGGAATTGCTAGATCATATAGTAGTTCTATTCTTAGTTTTTGGAGAAACCTCCATACTCTTTTCTACAGTGGCTTCAGCAATTTACATTCCCACCAACAGTGTATGAGGGTTTCCTTTTCTCCACATCCTTGAAGATCATTCATCTTAAATACTACCGAGAGCACTTTAAACATGTCACCAAACACATTTTTTCCCTATGAGAGGATATTAATTGCTGGTTAGATGGTCTGGCAAAATCAGAAATTTACGTCAATTAGCATGATATTCTTAGGCATGAAAAATTCTAATTTTCATATAACTTTGCATTTAACTTTCAAAGCCCTATTATATACCATTGATTCTATTTTCAGGCAAATTAAAATTTAAACCTACTTCCCTAAAATTATACCATTTTATGCTTTTTTCTTTTTCCCCGGTACGCGGGCCTCTCACTGCTGTGGCCTCTCCCGCCGCTGAGCACAGGCTCTGGTCGCGCAGGCTCAGCGGCCATGGCTCACGGGCCCAGCCGCTCCGCAGCACGTGGGATCCTCCCGGACTGGGGCACAAACCCGTGTCCCCTGCATCGGCAGGCGGACCCTCAACCACTGCACCACCAGGGAAGCCCTATGCATTTTTTTCTTACACCTACATCTTTTTTCTTAATCTACTCGATTCTTCAGTACTAGAAATGTACGGAAGGCCAAGGCAAAGCATGTGGCTGTAGGAAACTTTGCTATGGTTTATGGCACACTGACATATTCATGGAAATGGTATTTAAGTGTACAAAGGAATGATTATGTCGGCAGGAAGGGTGGTTCAAATACTATCTTCACAGCAAGCATCAGGTGTAAGACTTGGATAACATTTAATGTGCAAGAGTCAGCATCAGTAATCGAATTGTTTATCAGAATAGCTGAAGTTCTTGGCAAGCTGTGGACCTTTTCTAATCTCCTACCTAACATTCCTGGGTTCCTGAGGTGATTTTAAATCATTGCAGTCTAATCACCCAACCCTTAATGAAATCTACCGCACATAACACATTACCCAGAACAGGTATGGCTTGAATGAATAAAACTGAATATTCAAAGGTTTGCATTAAAAAAGAAAGAAATATGGAAATAATGTTCCAGTTAAAAAAAAAAAAACATTTTAGGGAATTCCCTGGCACTCCAGTGGTGAGGACTCCCGAGCTCTCACTATGGGGGACCTGGGTTTGATCCCTGGTCAGGGAACTAAGATCTTGCAAGCCACGTGGTGTTGCCAAAAAAATAAATAAAAAATTAAAAAAATAATAAAAAATTTTTACCAGAAGTATTTACCAATGAATTGTTTAAGAAGAAAAGACTTAGTATATCTAAAATGTGAGTTTTTAAGCTTTGATTTTTATCCATATTTTTAGGAAGGAATCTAGAGAATGAAAGATGAAATAGATGGAAAATCAGAAATCTTGCAAAACTTTTACATGATTCTTTTCCTCCAGGAGCTTTATTTATCACACTAAGCAAGATTACTTGCTTTATGTTTTACTTTTATAAAGAAAAATATGTCAAATAATTACCTTTGGCTCAAGGTATAATGATATTTTATTCCATTACAAAACTATAAATTAATTGCTCACATTTAATCTAATTGCCCCCCATGTAATGTCAAAATCAAAAGGTTGGGCTTCCCTGGTGGCGCAGTGGTTGAGAGTCCGCCTGCCGATGCGGGGGATGCGAGTTTGTGCCCCGGTCCGGGAGGATCCCACATGCCGTGGAGCGGCTGGGCCCGTGAGCCATGGCCGCTGAGCCTGCGTGTCCGGAGCCTGTGCTTCGCAACGGGAGAGGCCACAGCAGTGAGAGGCCCGTGTACCGCAAAAAAAAAAAAAAAAAAAAAAATCAAAAGGTTATCTTAATTATCCTTTACTTTGCACTTATCTTTCTGTTACTTTGTGAATCATTTTTGATGTCTTATTG